TGTCAGCATAGAAAGTATGGAACTTAGCAACAGCCCTGATAGCCAAAGGAAAGCTTGCCTACTTCACCTATGACAGCAGAAGAATATAATCCCAATACAACCAACTACTGTATTAAGAGAATGAAAAAAAAACCCATATGTGAATAGAATAACTTTTTGTTATAAAATTCCATATATTCTGAACAACTCTGATGCATTCTTTTGTGAAACTGTTGCAAATTTAATCCTTGAGATTAGTTACTTTTAAGTTTGTTTTATTTTTATTTGTGACTTCCTCTTGTTGTAACTAATATGTTTATTGTTTTTGCTCTGCTTTATGTATTTTTATTTGTTCTTTTGTGTTTTGACTTAATTTTTCCTGAATTATTTGCATGACTTATTATTTATTCTGTTCTTCCTTGCTGTAAGTCCCCTTGAGGAGAGGGGGCAGAATGTAAATAAAGAATTATTATTATTATTATTATTATTATTATTATTGCATATATCTGTGTTTTATGCCAGTTTTGTTGTTGTATGCCAATGAAGGCTGTGTGTGTGAACAGAATAGCTTTAGTGTCATTGTACATTGTACAATGAAATTAAATGCTTTCCCCAGCACACATCACAAAAACAGTACACTCATCCCTCCACACTCCAACCACCATTGCACAGCCCCCAATGCGACATCAATGCAAAACCATGGAGTTCAATATAGTTACAGCTCTAGGATAAAAGCTATCTCTCAGTCTGTTTGTCCTTGTATTTGTCACCCTGTACCATTTGCCAGATGCTAATATATTTTTTTTAAAAAGAATATGCCAGGTGAGATGGATACTTAAGAATGCTCTGAGCTTTCTTAATGTTGCAGAACTTATAAAGTTCTTCTAAAGAGGAAAGGGCAACCAATGATTCAAAGCTAATGAAAGACCAAAGGAAAACAAGGATGCTTGACAATTAGTCACAATGCATCAAGGTTGTAAGGAAGTTGTGAAAGTACTATAGTATATTATCAAATATATTCCAGTATCAAAGCAGAAAGACTGTTGCCTGATATTACACAGGTTTCAAGTAGTTGTATCCCATTTAATGGACAAATTCCATTCTGGGCTTTCATTTCTAGAGCTATTTGAATCTTAAGCAGACTTTAAATATCAGATCCTATAATTTGTCCTTGTGGAACTGTTAATTTCCTTATCACAATATGCAAGGGTTTTTCTTTGCTTCACCAAATCTACTATCCCTAATTAATCAATGAGGAAAAAGACATACTTATAAGCGCTTGGAATTTTTCTAGCATGACTCTCGATGGACTCTTGCATTAGACCATTTCCTCTTAAGAAATGTCCAGCTTTTTCTTCCAATCAACAAAATAGTTCTATTACATTGACTAGTCCTATTAAATTGAGCTCATGTCTAAACACAAATGGATGATGTTGCTTCAACGGAAAAACTTGTCATTGACAGATATTCTAAGTTATCTTCAGTTGCTCAAAATGATGGTGACAGATTACACCATCATGAAACAAGGTCTTCTAATTTGCCAGTTACTGAGCCAGAGCTACACCATGTTGCCTGTCAATCTAGGCTAAAAGTATTGCTAACTTGTGATCATCTCATGAATTTAGTATTAAATGACAATCCAGAAAACTCACATTCAATTACATTTGATCAAGATATGCCTTAGAAAGTAAACCTCGTAGCTCTGGAACAGAGTCATTCTTCTGAATTAACAACCCATACAAAAATGATAACTTCTTCCCAATTTACCACCTTCAAAAATTATGACTAATCCTAACCCATTTAGACTGCAGAATATAGTTCCATCTGTTGACATCACTGCCCCTGATTCCCAGATAGCTCTAGTGCTCTCTAAAGCCAAAGGTGCAGAGAAAGACTGCATTAGAAGAGATGAAGAAGGTTCTTGGATCTGATCAGTTCTGCAGAATTATTCTTATGGTGCCAGGAAGATAATCTCCTGCAACATCGTTGGCTGTGTAAATAAAACCATTGATAGTTCAGTCTGTTAGCATATTTTGTTCTTTTGATGTGATATTGTTGCAGGAAACTTGGTTACCAATAGCATGGCCCCGAATGACTTGGCTGTTTATACATTGAAAGCTATTCAGGTAAATAAGAGAAGATACCCTAGCGATCGCCATGTATTTTTAACATCAACTTCACTGATGGCTAAGGTAATCACTTTGAATAAGCCTGAACATCTAATATTTGGGATGTTTCTAAAACTAAACACTAAAAGCATCATCACTGTTACCATTTATATTCTCCCATTTGAACTTCAGATGGAAGACACCTGGCTAAATGTTGAGCATTATGTTTTTCCTCTAGTTATAAAGTTCCCTGCTGCATACATATACTCCATGAGTGATCTAAATATTAGAACTGGACCAAATGGCAACAAATTAGAAGCCAAATATCCAGTATTAAGTAAATTAAAGGGGAATATGTTCTTCCCTACTAAAAACCCAAAAGAGCTGAAGTTTTATTTTGCTCATTTCTATTTGGCCAACTGCAATTTAGGATGAATTTATTAATTGTAAATGGTGTGGCCTTTGAAGATTCTATGGACATATTTACTTCCTCTGACTATGTGAATCTAGTACAGTGGACTACTGTTTTGCTTCTAGAAATGCTTTTAGTTACTGGGTTGTTGTGAGTTTTTCAGGCTTTATGGCCATGTTCCAGAAACATTCTTTCCCAATGTTACACCTGCATCTGTGGCAAGCATCCTCAGAGGTTTTTTCAGAGATCTGTTGGAAATGAAGCAAGTGGAATGTTCTCTTTTCAAAGATAATTCTGGCAAAATCCACTCTAATCAGAAGCAAGCAATTGTGGTGCCAAATTGTAAGAAAGGTCAAGCCACCAAACCTATTAATCAGCTATCAATAATGGGAACATTATATGCTCATTTACTACATAGCAGACTGATTTCCTTTTTTTAATTCTAATAACATTCTTAATGAGGCACAAGCTACATTTAGATAGAAATATTTAACTTTTTCTAGGCCTCTGGAAGGCAAACCTTTTGTTGCTTTTAAGGACCTAAAATCAGCATTCGATTCCATCTTCAGAACCACATTATGAAAGAAGTTGGATAATTTTTGGTTGACAAAAGATTTTTGCTTACTAAGGCTTTATATAGCAACTTACCAATAGGATGCCAAATGACCAGCCACTGCCAGAAGGGATAGAGAGTTTCATCTATGCTGACGATTGTGCCATCACTGTTCATGCAGGGAACTTTGAAATGGTTGAACAGAAGCTCTCCAAAGTTTTAGGCACTCTTACTGTCTATTACAGGGAAAATTAGCTGATTCCTAATCCATCTAAAACACAGCCATGTGCCTTTCATCTGAAGAACAGACAAGCATCTCGAGCTCTGAGGATGACCTGGGAAGAAATCCCACTAGAGCACTGTAGCACACCAAAATACCTGGGAGTCACTCTGGACTGTGCTCTGACTTACAAGAAATACTGCTTGACTATCAAGCAAAAAGTGGGTGCTAGAATCATATCATACAAAAACTAACTGGCACAAACTGGGGAATGCAACCAGATATAATGAAGACACCTGCCCTTCTACTTTGCTACTCTGCTGCTAGGTGCACATGCTCAGTATGGAATACATCTCACCATGTTAAAACAGTGGATTTGGCTCTTAATGAGACATCCTGCATTATCACAGGATGTCTATCCCCAACACCACTGGAGAAATTATACTACTTAGCCAATACTGCTAAATGGGGCTATAAAGTGTTGTTCACTACATGTGAGGGTTGAGAAGAACAAACCATAGTGCACCCACTACAATGCAGTCTGAGCCCTGCCACATGCACATTGGAGGACCTTCTTACAGTGACACTAGAGGCACTTGAAGTGGTCAGCTTCCGGTCAAAGGAAATTAAGCACAATGCCAAGTTTTTAACTTTGTTTGTACTTTTTTAATACATTATAACTGTATTCTCAATTTGCTTCTGACACGATAAATAAATAAATTAAATTAAATAGAATCCTCTGGTGCTCCTATACAATTTGACAACAGCTACAACAGCAAAGAACAAAAGCTATTTGTACATACAGGTAAATGGCTTAAAAATCAGCCATGACCTATGAAATCAAGCTAAGACAGTAAAAAAGAAACCTGTGTGTGCTTTGGAATCCTACATCCAAAAATCTCTCTTACTGCAAACTTTATAAAAAGGGTATGCCTGATATGAAAAGTGCTTGACGTATCATTTATATAAAATCTGGATTCTCACCTTAATTTCTCCCTCTATACATATGAAGCAGCAAGAGAATCTACTGAATGTAGAACAGTGAAGCATTAGCAAGTTTCCACTATCAATACATAAGATTTAAGAAAATATTTATGAAGTACTTCGACATAAATAAATAAATATGAATGAATGAAGAAATTGTTAAAAGTGATGATAAGGGTTTTTTTTAATATATATATATATTAATTTGACATAAGATTCAAGAAAATTTACACCACATGCTAGTCAAAGTAAATGTAATATTTTTATACCAAAAATGCTCAAAGTTTATTTATGCATACTAAGAAAAAGCTAAAAAGAAAGCGGCATGCTACTCAAGTTGGCTTAAAATTGAAAATGGAAAAAATTAAAATGGAAATTATTTCCAAAAACCTCTTAATATTTTATTATGTCCATGTTATTAATGTTAATATATCTAATTTTTTACACAAAACAACTAGGTTTTTCTAAAACATTATTATATTAAAACAGAAGAGCCATTCTAGATCAATTTTTAAACAGTGATACTCTACCAACACAGCTACTTCAACATTTTGTACCCAATACATTTTTTCTGTTTACTATGTACCTTAGTAAACAGAAAAAAAATTAGAGGAAAATTATTTTGCTTTAGAAGAATTCCTCTTTCCACCATTTAATCATGTAGAACGCTCCTAACAAACTATAAAAAATAGGCTTGTGAACCTATACTACACACAATAATTATTGTTTGTATAGAATATCTACCTCTCCAAGAGCTTCATAGCGTTTTTGGTTCCATCTATGCAAATCTTCACGGTAGTTAAACACAAATGGCTCTCCAGTTTTTATATGCCTTAACTGCCCCTCTAGAAAAAAAAAAGAACATTATATTTAACATACAGATTTACAAATAATAGTTCTCCAGAAAAATATTAACTGTATACCACACAAATACTAATTAACTCTTCAACGTTAAGGGTTGGGATCTTGTTACGTCACTAAAAGGACTTTCCTGATTCTCCTGCCCAATGAAAATACTGGTTAGTGTTTCACAAAGAGGCAGGAAAGTGTGTTGTGTGGTATGATCAGAAAAATCAAACAGAATCACTATGCACAGAATGAGACAGTCTCTTAATGTGAAGCTCATTCACAGAATCATAGAATCATAGAGTTGGAAGAGATCTCGTGGGCCATCCAGCCCAACCCCCTGCCAAGAAGTAGGAAAATTGCATTCAAAGCAACTCCGACAGATGGCCTCTGTTTAAAAGTCTCTAAAGGAGGAGCTTAATTACCATAAATATTCAATAATAAAAGCAGTAATTTAGTTAGCAGAAAATGACATAAGCAGGAAAATAAATCTTAAGAGTATTTTCTTTATCAAAGCAAAAATACACAATTTTGTAACTCTGTGTGTATGTTTTTTTGTTTATGTTTGAATGCGTGTATGGAAAGATCAGTTTGGAAACTTCTGAAGTCTCCAAAGGAAAAAAGTGAACTTTATACTATCTGCAATATCCCTACCTGCAAATATACTGATAAAATAAGTGGAGTTTAACTTTTTCAGTCCTGCTATTACCTCAGTTTCAATGTGCTTTTTCCAGTTACAAACCTCCAGGGAAATGTGCTCCCCAAATTCATACCCAATATGCCAGATCTATATATACCTTTCTTCATAGAATAACTAACCCCTATTTTTCTTCCAAGACTTCTAATTTTTAAAATTCTATGTTGAGTGTCTATCCTCATTTTAAAGGCTGGTTATTGGTGAAGTTTCTCTCTCCCTGAGGAAATCATAGCACATTGTCTAGTAAGAACTGTAGCATAGTTTCAAGTGCTCTTAGGCTTTCTAGAAATGCTACCTGCTAAGAGTATATTATTGTTTTACAAATCAGAATAACAAGCACATTTTCCCCCAAATACTGAAGCATAACAAATATAAAAAGCATTAGTGCAAATGTAAAAAAAATCCACTCACACATCCTAATCTGAGGCCACTAAGATCAATAATTTATTCAACTTTAATCTAACAATCTCTATCAAATATAAGAATGATAAAACTCTTAATATTTCACTTGCATACTTCCACATTCAGATTTCATAGTACCCTCTTTAGCAATCAAATGTGCACTTTTAACTGTGTATAGAAAGGATTCTGAGATTGTACTGCTCTAAAAATAAGAAGTAGAGAAGTAAGAGTTGAACTTCTCCTTTCAAAGAGCAGTACTTTGATGACATTTTTGGTTTCTAAGTAGCTTTCTATGAAAGCCATCAGGGTATTGAAAAGCACTGTATAAATGATTACATTTAAAGAAAGGTTTTTTCTAAAACTGAAAGAGCAAGAGAGGTTTAAGAAACTAGAAAATTTATGACAGAGTATTAAACAGAAATAACTACAAGTTTTGCCTCCCTTATCAAGAAATCTGAATTCCAAAAACCTCCAAAACCAAAAACCTTTTGTTGCTGGCTTCTGCCTTTGAGGCAGTGGCTATAGAGCTCCTACTTGTTCATCTCTCAGATACTTAGTTTCTTTCCACTCTCGCATCTCATACACAACACAAGTAGCAAACAAATAAGACGTGAGGCTAGAGAAAATCTGAGAATCTGAGATATTAAATGAGCCTCAATTGCCACCTTGAAGGCAGAAGCGATGGCTGGTGCAAAGAGAGAGAGCCTGAGGTTTGAGAGCCAAATATTTGGGACCGCTGCAGTCACTGCCTCAAAGGCAAAAGCTAGCTACTGATGGCCAAAAGTGTTGGTTTCTTGCTATTTCACATAGTTTCAGTCTCTCTCCAGCCTTATGTCTTGTGCACAAGACAAGTAGCAAACAAATGAGACACAAGACGGGAGACAGGCACAAGCCCATCCACAAAGATAAATGAAATGGCTATGTATGCAGATGCATTCTGTATATGTATGCAGATGCATTCTGCCATCAGTAGCTAGCTGTATATCCAAATATTCAAAATAAGGAACACCTTTGGTCCCAAACATTTCAAACAAAGGGATAATCAACGTGTACCTTCATGTCTGCAGCCTCTCATATCTATAACTACGTCATATGACCATTTCAGACTTGTAGTAATGTATGATTCTCATCAGTCTATACACAGATGTTTAGTACACAGATGCCAAGACAAACAGTGCTGGAACTTGAGCAAGCTCATAGCAGCCTCCCTCCAAAAAGATGTATGTCTTCGTATACACACCTCATGAGTGCTATTTTTCTCCACATTTTATCATCATCTGGCTAAACTTCAGACTATAAACTTTGCCCTCAAATGACATGGAAGTCACATAATTTATGTGCTGTATATCCTTTGTGTACTGCAATCTGCTACAGGATGACCGTGTATCTGCTGCTTTTAGAATTACAAAAAGCAAACTATATCCTGTATGAAAAGTTTTTAAACTACCATTTTTTCCTTTGGAAAAAAACTCAACTATGAATGCAGATGAAGATTGTTAATGAAGGAAGTTTAACCGTCCTCCTCTGCTGCTCTTCTCCATCAGGTTTTCATTTTGGTTTTCACAGAAAGTCCAGCTTCTGCCACACATGTCAATAGCACTCACAGCTCAGATGGGGGGGGGGGTGATGTCTTCTTGCACAAGCAGCCCATTTCATTGAACTGTGTGAACTAGTATCTAATCGCCTATCTGGTGTTGCTTTCTGAAAGCACTTTCTAACACACCCATTGCACAGTAATTACGGACTCCACAATTTGAATCACACGCCTTCTTCTGCTGGGTTGCAGCCATTTTGTACTGCTAGATGCACAAACACTGCTTGGTGGTTGCTTGTGCAATTACCTCATTAGGGTGGCACATATGAGGGTGGAAACAACTTGAAGACATCCCCATTACATTGATGCAGGTTTTATACGTGTACGTTCACTGAAACATTTAGCAAAAAAATTTGAACTCAGGGCATTCTTCGTAAAAACCCTGTATTAGGGATCATATCTTTATGTGCAGTGATGCCTTTGACATAGGATCTAAACAATAAATCATACATTTTAAAAAATATCAATAAAAGATTTTCATGAGATATGTTGTGTCCCCATACATTTTGTTATTACAACTTATGTGTGTCTCCATATCTCTTCCAAAGGGTTGGTGTAGTTTTTGCTTTGCTAGTAAAACTGAAATAGTGTCGCAAAATGATGTGCATATAATAATTTTGTGTCACCAACATGAGATGTTTGGAAAGCTCTAGTCTATAGTTTCACATCTCTCAGGTGCAGGGGAGCCCTTTCAGAGTATGCAACCTTCAGATGATGGGTAGCACATTCTAGTTTGTCCTTTTAGGACAGGAGTGATAATCTCTAGTGACTGCATCTCCCAAAATTCATCACCATGGGATATATTGCTTATTAGTTCCACAGCTTTTGAAATTTAAGTGTTACATCCTCATCAACAAAGTAACTAGTTAAAAGTAGTGATTAGCTTGCAAAATTCTGGGTAGGGGCCAACAGGGAGTTGAAAAATCCCAGGGCATAATCTTCACAACCAAGAAGAAAACTTGTATAAGGCAAAAGCTTCCTTTGATGAGGGGGGAGGGGAGGTAAAGAGCCAGCTTTTTTTTTTGCTTCAGCTGTAGGGGTCCCCTAAAACAGGTCATTTCAAACTAACTTGTTTACATAGGTAATTGATTTATTAAACTGAAGCACTATTTTGTTTTTTTAAAAATAGACATTTAGTATAGTTCTTGTGGTATGTGCTGAATTTTATGTAAGAGTCAATTAAACACAAATATAAGCATTCTTTCAATATATCCAAACATATCAGTTTAAACAACTATAATTAGTTTAAACTTTGCAGGAAAACATGAACACACTGAAAGATGACATTCCAAAGTACACTGCCTTCTACAACATTCTAAAAATATGGCTACATATGAGATCCAAAACAGAGTATGACAAAAGCAATTCAGCTTTTGAGTAAATGTGAGCCACACAGGGTTGGCAGTCTTAAGAAGTAAACAGTAGCACAGAGACATTTCAAAACAAAATAATTTAATTTTATCTATTGTTGTTGTTTATTATTTATTTATTTATTTATTTCAGGTACTTCTACCCCGCCCTTCTCAACCCCCTAAGGGGGACTCAGGGTGGCTTTGTTGTTGCTGTTATGTTTATATCCTGCTTTTTCTTCTCACAAAGGAGACTCAAAGCAGCAACAGACTTCTGTTTCATTGTCTACAATGAAATATTTCATTGCTTTCTTGATTCCCAAGAATTTCTCTATTCATTTCAGTACACATTTGTGAAAAACATAACTGTGATTAATTAGAACGCTAAAGCAAAGTCCCATTAAAACAACAAGACTGGCATTCAAATATTCTTCAATGTATTACACAGTAATTTGAATTGAAATGTAATAGGCTATTTACTAACCAATATGTTAAATAAAAACTGAATGAGATGTTTTTGTGAAGCATTGCTATCATTATTGGTCAACTGACTTCCTATTTTTAAAATACCCAAGGATAAATTGCAATAGCATACAATGTGTAATTGTATACATAAGATAAAAATATGATCTATCAGATTATTTCTTTATAGTTTAAAAGGTTAGATCTTTATAGGTTAAAACTGTTACCTTTTTATCAGATTATTTCTTTATAATAATTCACAATTATTTCTTTAATTAAATTGTTTAAAGACAAAAAGAAGATTCCCAACAGCAAGTTATGGATCCAAACTCTGGAAATATATTAATATTTTATCATTCTAATTTGGCTTCTTACAGCTTGTATTACTGGTACTTACTTTCATTAAAAGCATACTCAAATCCTTCAAGAGTATCAGGAAACTCAAGTGGTGGTTCATCTTTTTTCATCAGTTCATCCAAGTCTATTCTAGACAACAAATCTGGAAGGGAAAAAAAGTTGGGGGAAAGGTTGTATTTCTGTAGATTTCATGTTCAAACATATCATTCTTAACAAAAAGCAGAATCTTGAAAAATGAACCGAAAGAAGAGAAGCAATTGTACAGTTTTGGTCTACTTAAACCAACAAGTCCTTTTAGATAAGCAAGATGGTTTTAACAGATCACAGACAAGATTCTATACATGCAGAGAAATATCTGAGTATAATAAGTAGGACTTCCAAAAATCATGTACTGAGTCATCATTCCTAAGAAAAGTGAGGTTCAGAATTCCAGCCAGCCAGTCATGCCTTCCTCACATCCCTATTCTTCTCATCATGACAATCAAACAGGATGCAGCCAGGATTAGATGGTGCCATTTTTATTGACTTCTGAAAATCTTGCCAATTACTCCTAAACATGTTGTTCTCTCTCTCTTCACAACAGCTTGGTTTGACTCAATTTATCTCGGTATTTCTGTCTTGGTTCCATTTCTGGAAATTAAGATCCTATGTACAAAGGTAACTCGGGTATTAATCCTAATGAGATAACACTAGCAAGGATGAAAAGAAGAAAAATCCCAATATACTCTATAGGTAGGATAACTATATTAAGAACCCATAAGGTGCAAGTAAAGGCTTGAACCTCACTGTCCAAGAAAACTACTGGTGCTTATAACCACCAGTTGGCATCTTCCCCAATCTGGTGCCCTCTCAGTTTTTTGTACTACAACTCTCATCAGTGCAAGTTGTTATTGTTAATGGTAAAAAAAATCATGTGAAGATTGTAGAATATTGTCCTAAATTATAGATCATGAGAGGTTCTGATACAAGAAATGCAGTACGATGCAATCATGTATTATCTTTGTAAGTAAATGTGAACTAGGACCTGTGCTGTCTTTCTGACTGCTCTGCACAATCATATACTGGCTGGTTTCTCTACTACTCATGAATTAATCCACCCTAAGGTTTACCTGCCTTGACTGCTCTCTAGAACGCAACCACACCTAGACCTGGATATTTTTAAAAGCCAGAAAAATTGTTAAATCACAAAGGGCTAATAGCTCTTTTTTATTAATGTTGCATCGTCGTCGTCGCCGCCGCCATTTATAGTTGTCTGAACGAACATTCAAACCAATTCATTTAAAACAGAAATGCAACATACTTAAATGTTATTGAAATATTCCCTAAAATAAGTGTATTTTCTAGATTTGAACAGGGTCAATTGAATGTTTGCTCCTTAAGATACACACATAGCATCAAAAATGCCCATATTCTTTATCAAAAGAAAAAAGTCAAGTAATAATAAAGCAAATTAAGTATGATACAACCTTTTACTTAAGATATTTTATCAGTCATCAGTGGTAAGAAAACAGCTAAAGAAAACCAGCTTTTAAAAGAAGGAGAATATGGAGAAAGAGCATTATAGACACCGAGATATGGGAATTGAGTTATCCTAGTATCTAGCAGATAGGGGAAGAGCACGTTGTATTTCCAACACTTTTTTCCACTTCCTCTCATACTGTTTTTGTTGTTGTTGTTGTTAAAAATGTAATGTACAGGAAAATATCTACTTAGCTAACTGAAGTATTTCTGTATAGTTGGCATTCCACACTTGCAGGTTAAGAAGTTACAAATTTGATTATTTGTGGATTACTGTATTTGACACCTATGCCGTTGTAACAGTGAATTTGATAACACCAGTGTTGCTGAGAGGAAGTCAAGGTGTTAAGGTGGCTGAGCCCAGACATGCACACATTCTCAGCTCACTCAAGTGGGGAAAAGGGGATGGGAAGAGTGTACACACATGCGCTCACTCCCTTGCACAAGCAGGACACAAGCAAGAGATGGGGTACAAGAAGAGTGTGTGGAGGAAGGGGGTAGAAGGAAGGAGCTCATAGGTGTGAATTATAGGTGAAGGGAGGAAGATGCACATGGGTGGGAGGGGAAGGGGGGTGGGACAGGGGAAGACCTGCAAACATGTATGCTCATTCATGCGGGGAGGGGGGAAGATGGGATGGGAAGAGAACTCAGTCACTCAGTCACTTCTCCTGTTCCATTTTTCCAATCCCCTTCCCACTCCTGTCTAAGTGAGTGAGTAATCTCATGCTTACATGACTGGGTCCAGCCATGTTGCTAGTACAGGTACTGTTTTGTGTGTATTCAATATAGGTGGGGATGGGGTGGGGGGTAATTTACAAATTTTCCACTTTTTCAAGAGTTCTGCACCCCTAATCCCCACAAATGTGGAGGCCTGACTGTACTATTAGATGAAGAGTTGTAGAAACATGTAAGAGAGAGTGCACATAATACAGAAGTAATAGTCATAGAATCATAGAATCATAGAATCAAAGAGTTGGAAGAGACCTCATGGGCCATCCAGTCCAACCCCCTGCCAAGAAGCAGGAATATTGCATTCAAATCACCCGACAGATGGCCATCCAGCCTCTGCTTAAAAGCTTCCAAAGAAGGAGCCTCCACCACACTCCTTTGGAAGCTTTTTTTTTAGTCCATTCCTTTTTATTTATTTATTTATTTTTATGTTTTGCCCTGAGAACTACACCAGCATATTTTAGTTGTCACCAAAAGATGCCTCTGTTCTAGTATATTACTTTGCAGCCACACTTTTAAAACTAAAAAAGTCCAAATGATTTTTAAGGGAAAGTCTAAGGACTTGCTAGGAAAAATCTGGAAAATCTGAAACAGCAAACATCAGGACTGTAATAAAGAAAGATCTGATTGCAATCAACATCTCTTCTCAACAACTGAATACCAGTAGACATAGTCATAAGGCCCAACTCAATAACATTTTCCGTACTCATAGTGAGGCATTTTATGAACACATTATCTAGCTTCTCCAAAGTGAGTATAATTTGCTTCCAGTGATATGGATTTTCTTGAAAAGCAGTTGCTCTAAACCACTTCTTCTTCAACTGTGGGTCCGATTGCCATAACTGAGAGTCACAAAATATTTGGCAGCAGTAAAAAGTTTCTGATGGCCACCTAGTGGCTGTTTTAGACATTTACACAAATCTGACAGCAACAAAGTCCAGTGTTTATAGTGAACTCTTCAGAAAATGCTTCAGTTGTACTTCATAAAAAATCAGCCTGCTTAGCAAGCATTGGAAATGCTGATTTATTATCAATAAATGTTTTATTGTTAAGCTTATTTTATATTCCTATATACTGGGTTGCATAAAATAATAATAATAATAATAATAATAATAATAATAATAATAATAATAATACTTTATTTATACCCTGCCACCATCTCCCCGAAGGGACTCAGGGCAGCTAACATGAGGGCAAGCCCAAATGAAATTACAATGGAACAAAAAAAATATTGAGCAGAAAGGGATTATGAGTGGAGAAAGTTTAATAAGCTCTCCTCTAAACAATATGATCTGATTTAGCATTATTGGTTTGAAAACATTCAAAGCTCTATGTGGAATTTTGTAATTACTGCATTTGGAATATTGTAAAAAAGCACATACATTCCTTATATTTAAGAGAAAAGTTAGTACACTTGAAAAATACTTATTTTAGAACTGATATATATTACACCTCATATAATAGGGTTAGGGCTAGGGTTGCTAAAGGATAACTGTAGAATCCACAACTTCATTGACTCGATGTTTGCAGTATTTATCATTTCCATTTCAAACAGAGAAAATGTTATTCAGTACAGCTAGTAGAACATTATGTTTCAACAAAGGATGGGTGTGAGTCTGTGAGCATAAGCAACATACCATATTTTGTTTAAACTACTTGTACTTATGACTGATTTAGAAGCAATAAATTTTGCAAAATAGCAACAAGCTTAACAGTGCCTTCATTTGTTAGTCTGTTCCTCTGAGTGCTAGGTTCTGTTAATGTTTGTTCCCTTAGAAGAACAGCTAGATGCTCATATCCTATATTTAGTCCATCAAACATGATTGATGGAAGTGTAACAGCCCACATAACTATGGATAAATGTATGCAGGGGTATTGGCCGTGTAGTAAAATACAACTAACTCCAAAACCAACAAAACAGCAATACCTTTGTTTGCCGACCAAAGTGCACAAAAAACAACAATTAAGCTATTGAAGTTGCAATGTCTTTTTGTCAAAAATATCGTTTTGTTTTCATATAAAGAGGAATGGTTTCAGGTAATGTTACAACAACCATAGATAAGGATAGATTTCCTGAATCTTTATTTAACTGATTTATTGGAATAAAATATATAATTGAAAGTAGTAGTAAGTCAGTGTCTTGAAACCACAACTTCTCATTTTGATTTCCACGAACCACATAAAATAAACCCCAAACACACATTGAGATATTTTTCCCGATTGTTTCACATGTGAGTTTGTTCATTAGTGATATATTTTAAAGATATATCTGGGTTGTTTTTTTGTTTTTGTTTTTTGAGTGGATACAAAAGATGAAAAAATCTATGACAAGAAAAAAGCAAAAGAAAATATATGCTACATGTATAAAAGGCATGCCAACATGTCACAGGAACTATAACCTTGTCACATACACAGATTACATTTTCTAGACCAAGTATTTGAAGAACCTATATACAGAACTATTTGGAAGCATGTTCCAAATATCCTATTTTTAAATCCCCCTTTTTGGACCTAGTTTATTCATTATTCTAAAAGAGAAAATGTTGCACAAATAGATACACTTCATTTTTCCCTACATATTTCCCCATAATAGTTTAATTTCAACTGTTATTCTTTTCTACAGAAGAGAACAAGAAACCTGAAGTATGGATAGATGTTTTTAAAAAAACTCATTTCAACTATGAATGGCGGTTGTACACATCTGCACTTGCTCACCTGTTTTACTAACCACAAAATTATAGCTCATCAGAACAAGTGTACGGAGTGCCTACGGAGAAGTTCCAAATTAATTTGTACCCTTTAATGCTGTAGTCTTCTCTTTTTCATCAGGACCTCCCTGTTGGAGTTGCGCCATGCTTATCCAAATTCTCAGCCAGAGTAAAGTAAGAGAAGAAACATGCATCAATCCTGAAAAGATGAGCTGAAAAGGCAAAGGAAGTTTGAAATGGTCAGTTTAGCAGCATTTCACAACGTTTCCTGAAAATAATCAATGCAATGAAAAATAATGAAAATAATGTACAGATATACATAGAAATTAAGAAACACTACCAAGACTGTATTGTCGAAGGCTTTCATGGCCGGAATAACTAGGTTGTAGGTTTTTTCAGGTTATATGGCCATGTTCTAGAGGAATTCTAGAAGGGGAGAAGGGAGGACATTGCTATCTTGTCCCCTGTGACATCACCGCCCCTCCCCCAGCACCAACGGCCACTCTGGGGCCAGAATAAAGAAGGGGAGCCGGGAGGACATTGCCATCTTGTCCCTTGTGACATCAGCGCCCCTCCCCTAGCAATAATGTAATATTATGTAGTAGAATAAAGAAGGGGAGCCGGGAGGACATTGCCATCTTGTCCCCTGTGACATCAGCGCCCCTCCCCCAACACCAATGGCCACTCTGGGGCCAGAATAAAGAAGGGGAGCCGGAGGACATTGCCATCTTGTCCCCTGTGACATCAGCGCCCCTCCCCCAGCACCAATGGCCACTCTGGGGCCAGAATAAAGAAGGGGAGCCAGGAGGACGTTGCCATCTTGTCCCCTGTGACATCAGCGCCCCTCCCCCAGCACCAACGGCCATGATGATGTTTTTGTATAATGCCGGATTGTGAATTTTTTTTATACTGTGTCTGAATTTTGTTCTTTCTATGTTGTACACCGCTGTGAGTCGCCCCCGGGCTAAGAACAGCGGTATATAATCAAAGAAATAAATAAATAAATAAATTCTCTCCTGACGTTTTGCCTGCATCTATGGCAAGCATCCTCAGAGGTAGTGAGGTCTACCAAGACTGTTCATTGAACAGGGACATAATGTACTGGAAGTTGGGGGTCTATATCCTATTCAGGACTTCCTCGGGGATATGTAAAGCACTCTGAAGGCATCCTTGATCTATACAGATCATATTATCATCTCCTAGTAGCACTTAGCTGGAGGCCCCGGTGGCGCAATAGGTTAAACCCTTGTGCCGGCAGGACTGAAGACTGAGGTTGGAGGTTTGAACCTGGGGAGAGCACAGATGAGCTCCCTCTGTCAGCTCCAGCTCCCCATGCAGGTACATGAGAGAAACCTCCCACAAAAATGGTAAAGCATCCAAACATCCACCCAACCCCTGGGCTACATCCTTGCAGGCAGCCAATTCTCCCAAATGAGGAAAAAAAAAGCACTTAGCTCAGAACTCTCGGTCTTTATTCTCCACCCTTGATTCATCTTTTAAAGTTTAAATAATCTATTTTGCATTCAGCTTCCACTTTGATAACTTTTCATGCTGGATTATCTTCTCAATGAGAAGATCCTCTATCTTATGACTTCATTTCCTTGTTTCTAAATTAGTTTTTTTTTTCCCCTCACTTTTGCCATTCCTCAAACCTGTCTGCTTCATATTACATGCTGAGAAGGAAAGGTAAAAAGGACAGTGTGTTAACTAGACCTGGTTACAGGGACATACAACCCTCTTCTAGAACAGCTCCACTGGCTGATAGTCTGTTCCTGTACATGGTGCAAAGGGCTGGGTAATGACTTATAAAGCTTTATATGATTTAGGTCCAGACTATCTGACAGATTTCATCTTCCTTCCCTTCATCAAATGTGTGGCTGAAGTTATGATAGGACCTTCTTGGGGTCCTTCCACACAGCCCTATATCCAAGAATATTAAGGCAGAAAATCCCAAATATCTGCTTTGAACTGGGTTATCTGAGTCCACACTCAGATAATGTGGGATTTTCTGCCTTGATATTTTGGGTTATAAGGCTGTCTAGAAGGGCCCTTAGAGAGGCTGAAAATCCCCCTTCTTTTACAGACAAATGCTTTTTTATTCTGATAAAACTGTCGTTTCCTAAGAAATATACTTTTAAGGAGGTGCTGCTGTAATATTTTAATTGTACTTTTACAGTTGTTCTTTTGAATCATTTTAAGAATATGTTTTAAATTGTTATTAGCTCAATTCTATTTGAATATTGATCTTTTGCACGCTTTGACAGTACCGATAATTTAACAATTATCTTTAAAGTTTTCATTTCCAATCATAAATATTTTCTTGTTTCTCATTTGCAACCACTTTTTTCATGAAGTTCCTCTTCAAAACATATTGCTTCAACATAGCCCTTAAACCAGCTCTAACTTAATTTGCCTTCCTTTTTGCGATCACTTCAGCCTCCATAACACCAGCTCATGATGTCATTTTCTAGTTCAGTGAACCCAGCGTGAGCAGTTACACCATGTTTTTAACAACTTGTTTTATTATGTTATTATTCTGAGCTTCTTGTTTTCTTCTTCTACCCATTTTTATTCTAAACTTTGTCAAAAATGAAAAGTGTTATGATACTCCGGAATAAGCAAATGGCATTATACACTAGTAACAATTGCCCCCAAAGAGATAAATTGAGAGTGCCTCCTTGCTTCTGCATGAAAAGACGTTATCTTATATCTAAATCCAGAACTTTTAACTTTTATTTCCAATGCATAACTCCATCTAAGGCCCCTTCCACACAGCTGAATAAAACCCCACATTATCGGCTTTGAACTGGGATATATGGAAGGATGGACTCAGATAACCCAGTTCAAAGCAGATATCGTGGGTGATTCTGCCTTGATGTTCTGGGTTATATGGCTGCGTGGAAGGGCCCAATGTGCTGTTATCTGATGCAAAATTTCATTCATGTGTGAATTACAAAATCAGCCCAATGAACCTTCACAGAACAGCACTTCTGGTTTTGATAGCATTTTCTTGGTTGATATCCAAGTTCTTACTACAGCTGGAATCCTATGCTTGGTCTCAAGTTGAGCAAAATTGTTAAATGATGAGTTAACACATAGGTAAATCCATTTGATTCAATCGCTCTATTGCAGTTGGAACTATCAATAGGATTTAGGCCTAATTGTGTTATCAAGCAGTGCCCAAGTTGCCCTGCCACTCCTGCTTTTGCATATATGGTCCCTACAGAAAGTGAAAGATATGTGGTGAAATATAATTTTACCTTAAGTTGAGAAGGAAGCACAAAAATAAGGCACATTATGGTCTAAAACAGGCATGGGCAAACTTTGGCCCTCCAAGTGTTTTGGAGTTCAACTCCCACAATTCCTAACAGCCTACCGGCTGTTAGGAATTGTGGAAGTTAAAGTCCAAAACACCTGGAGGGCCAAAGTTTGCCCGTGCCTGGTCTAAAACCTGAACAGGTTATAACTCTTGATTCAATTGGATTTATCTACAACAGTGGTTCCCAACCTGTGGTCCATGGACCACCAGTGGTCCAAAAGAACGAAAATATTATCTGCGGCCTCACCATTACTACACTGTTGTCTCAAAACCACGCAGCAACGTGAACGACTGGTCTTGCAAAACCCTCTTATAGTGCCAAGGCAATGGGGATATCAGGAAGGTGAGGCTGACTAACCACAAAAGATTGCTACTACCACATCAACTCTAGATTATTAAATATGGTTTTCTGTGGGCAAGCAGAAGGCGACTACTGGATGGCATATGTTCTGTATCAGAAACTAGACCTGATGTGGTCTTTCCAATGCAATTTTCTGAATCAGCACCCGAAATAATCAAACCGAGTCTGAAGTTGACCAAAAACTGATTCGTAACCCTTTTGGTACTAATGTTGGAGAGTGGTCCCTGGTCAAAGTGGTCCCTGGTCAAAAAAAAGGTTGGGAACCTCTGATCTACAAGTTCATTTCTCTCTCAGCTATTAATTTAATGAGTAATTTTGCACTAACCAGCTGGATTCCAGGTGGTAAGAGGGATACCTAGCCCTCTTCCTATTGCCATCCTTGTAAACATTCTTCTACTGGGATGATATAATATGAAATACACTTGAGAAGAGACTACAACAGGGACACCATGGAAAACCCAACTCTCAGGATTATTTCCCCAGTAACTCACACCCTAAAATAACTAGTGGCATCATAACAACAACAGCATCAGTGATACAGGTTGAACATCCCTTATCCAGAATCCTCCAAAATCCAGAATTGTTCACCTGAGTGTCTTCCTTTGCTTAGTTGTGGCTCAATGTGCCAACATTGTTCCATGCACAAAATGGTTGTTTATAAAGCTACCTCCACACTATGTGAGTAAGGTGGACAAGAAGCATAAAGGAACGTTGTGTTCAGACTTGGAACCCAAAATATCTCCTTATGTAGAGTGTCTGCAGAAACAACATAGAGTTAAGGACATGGCTTAATTTAGAGTGATAGTATGATAGCTGGATCCGGAAGATCAGAGCGTTATGCACATCTTGCAACGGCAGTTGTGAATAAGGGAAGGAGAGAACGGCACACTGAGGGAGGGAATATACAATTGCATCTGGTGGAAGGATAGAAAGGAGGGGAGGGTTAGGATAAGGTTTAGGGTAAGGGTTTGGAGTTAGGCTTAGGGCAGTGGTTCTCAACCTGTGGGTCCTCAGATGTTTTGGCTTTCAACTCCCAGAAATCCTAACAGCTGGTAAACTGGCTGGGATTTCTGGGAATTGTAGGCAAAAACACCTGGGGACCCACAGGTTGAGAACCGCTGCCTTAGGGTAAGGTTTGGGGTTTGGGTTAGAATTAGGGTTAAGGGTTAGGGTTACGGTAAGGGTTAGGGTTTTAGCATTAAAGAACTCTTACATTCCTTCTGTAATATCTGTGTTACATTCTGCGTTGCGCAAACAGCATTCCCGAGGGAGCGAAGTGCAAACAGTGTAACATTCAGAGCTTCCGGACCCAGCTTTCATAGTATTACCTCATTTATGATGTTGTAGGTTTTTTGGGCTGTATGGCCATGTCCTAGAAGCATTCTCTCCTGACGTTTTGACTGCATCCGTGGCAAGCATCCGCAGAGCCTCTGAAGATGCTTACCACAGATGCAAGCGAAACATCAAGAGAGAATGCATCTAGAACATGGCCTAACAGCCCGAAAAACCTACAACAACCCAGTGATTCCGGCCATGAAAGCCTTCGACAATACATGGCTTCATTTATTTAGGATTTCCAAAAGCTGGGGACAGGATCCAAAACATCTCAAGACTCAAGCATATCGGGTATGGGCTACTCAATCTATACCAGGCCTGTTGTTTACAAAACTACCTTCACAGTATGTGTGTAAGGTGGACAAAAAGCATAAAGGACAGTTGTGTTGAGACTTGGGTCCCAAAATATCTCATTATGTAGAGCAGGGGTCTTCAAACTAAGGCCCGGGGGCCAAATGCGGCCCTCCAAGGTCATTTACCCGGCCCTCGCTTAGGGTCAACCTAAATCTGTAACGACTTGAAAGCACACAACAACAACAACAATCCTATCTCATCAGCCAAAAGCAGGCCCACACTTCCCATTGAAATACTAATAAATTTATATTCATTTTAATTATTGTATTTTTTAAGTGGTTTTTGCACTACAAATCTATGTGCAGTGTGCATGGGAATTCATGTTTTTTTCAAATTATAATCCGGCCCTCCAACAGTTTAAGGGACTGTGACCTGGCCCTCTGTTTAAAAAGTTTGTGGACCCCTGATGTAGAGTGTCTGAAGAACCAAGGTACAGTTAAGGACATGGTTTCATTTATCTAAGATTTCTAGGAGAGATAATCCAAAACATTTTAGGCTCAAGCATTACAGGGAAGAGATACTCAATCTATACCAGGTCTGAGCAAAGTTGGGCCCTCCCTCCAGGTGTTTTGGACTTCAACTCCCACAATTCCTCACAGCCTCAGGCAGTGGGAAAAGGAAAGGGCCTGAGGCTGTGAGGAATTGTGGGAGTTGAAGTCCAAAACACCTGGAGGGAGGGCCCAACTTTGCTCAGACCTGCTTTGGACCATGGTTTGGCTTCCCTGACAGGCAGGCAGGCAGGCAGGCAGGTCCAAGGAGGCCTTGAAGGCTGAGCCTCCCGCTCTCCCTCCTCTCCTCGCGTACCTGCGGCCTTCCTTTCACACGCAAGGGGGCGGGGCCAAGGCTTGTTACCGGGAGACGCGCCGCCGCCGCCGCCGCCGCCGCTGGCCTGGCTGCGTCTCGTCCACCAGAGGCTTTGGTCCCGCCCTTTCCTTTCCTCCCCTTCGCCAAGAAGCTGGAGGAATCCTCCGAGTTCCACTTCCGGGCCTGGTGAGGGGTGGGTGACGTCACACACACACACACACACACACCGCGGCGTCGTTCGGAAAAGGTTCAGCGTGGCTGTCAGCGCAGTCCGGGCGGAAGTGGACGGAAAAGGACTTCGTGCCTTGGCACGGACGGAGCATGCGCAGAGTCTGAGCGCCTGCAATACACTGCCTCGGGTCAGATTGTAGCCCTGGCTTGAGTCAGATTGCAATAAGTTAAGACAATGGCCTTATATTCTCGGACAACTAACTGTTTTCCAAGAGACAGGAACTGGGGTTTTTTTGAGAGGAAAGGATTGTAAATCTGAAACAGAAGCGGAATTAAAGGGTGTTAAATAGCTAGGACCCCTTCCACATAGTTGTATCCCATATTTTCTGCTTTGAACTGGGATATATGGCAGTGTGGACTAAGGGCCCTTCCGCACAGCCCAATTTCCCAGAATTTCAAGGCAGAAAATCCCACATTATCTGAGTGTGGACTCAGGGCCCTTCTGCACTGCCCTATATCCCAGAATATCAAGGCAGAAAATCCCACATTATCTGCTTTGAACTGGAATATATGGCAATGTGGCCCTAGATAACCCAGTTTCGAGCAGATATTGTAGGATTTTCAGCCTTGATATTCTGGGTTATAGGGCTGTGGGGACTCAGATAACCCAGGCCCCTTCCACACAGGCCTATAACCCAGAATATCAAGGCAGGAAATCCCACATTATCTGCTTTGAACTGGAATATATGGCAATGTGGCCTTAGATAACCCAGTTTCGAGCAGATATTGTAGGATTTTCTGCCTTGATATTCTGGGTTATAGGGCTGTGGGGACTCAGAAGACCCAGACCCCTTCCATGCAGGCTTATAACCCAGAATATCAAGGCAGGAAATCCCACAATATAATCATAATCATCATCTTTATTTATACCCTGCCACCAGGCCTGTAGCTGAGGGGGAGGGGGGTTAGGGGTTCAACCCCCCACCCAAATTTTTTCAGGTTAAAAAAACCCACCTGGTTTACTCATGAATTTTCACTGGTTAACCAAATCCCTATGCTAAGTCTATGAGACACAAAAAATTAAGATTCCCTCTGGAACTGCAAGCACCAGGCCTGTAGCTGGGGGAGGGGGGGGGGTAGGGGTCCACCCCCCCCCCAAAATTTTCTGGCTACGGCCCTGCCACCACCATCTCCCCAATGGGGACTCGGGGTGGCTAACATGAGGCCAAGCCCAAAAATAATACAACAAAAGAATATACAAGACAATAGAAAATAAGCTCAACAAATACATAATACAACAAAATAAAACAAACAATGCAAAATAACATAATAAAATCAGTCAGGGTGGACCAAATGTACAAAATACAATGCTAAAAAACGTTAAAATGTTAAAACCCTGGGTGAGAAAGGAAGTATAAAAGGTGTATTTGTAAAGGAGGAACCCGTGACGGGGGAGCAGTGGGACTTTGGCTTCATTAGGGTAGGGGAAAGTGCATCTACTTTGAAATGGGTTATCTGAGTCCACATTGCCATATAATACAGTTCAGTGTGGATTTTATGCAGCTGTATGGATGGGAATCGAGTTCAAAGCAGATATTGTGGACGCATCTCCACCTATGAACCGACTAGGACATTAAGATCATCCGGGGAGGCCCTGCTCTCGGTCCCGCCTACGTCACAAGCGCGGTTGGCGGGGACGAGGGACAGGGCCTTCTCAGTGGTGGCCCCTCGGCTATGGAATGCCCTACCTGTAGACATCAGACAGGCCCCTTCGCTGCTGGCGTTTCGGAAGAAGGTTAAGACCTGGCTCTATGAACAAGCATTTGGCTAAACAGTGCAACTGAATATAGGAGGACGGTAAAATTTGATCTCAGGAATGGCACAAGGATTACGAGAACGGATTCTGATTTCATATTGAGGCGTTATGAATTGTTAATGATTGTTTGATTTTGTTGTTGTATATGATGTGTTTTAATTGTTTAGGATATTGTTGTGATAGTATTGATATTATTGTGATAATTTTATTGTGTAAACCGCATTGAGTCGCCTTATCAGGCTGAAAAATGCGGTATAGAAATAAAGCAAATAAATAATAATAATAAATAAATTATCTGGGTTATATGGCTGTGTGCAGTTTCTAACTGCATTTATATGGCAGTGTAGATCCAGCCAGTGTTTGCGAGCTTCCAGCTCCAGTTTGTTTAGAAGTGAAAACCCACTGTTCCCAAGAAACTCCTGTTCTCATTATTAAAGCAGAGGGTGAATCCACACTGTAGAATTAACACACTTTGACACCATTTTAACTGCTATGGCTGAATGCTATGGGGTCCTGGGATTTGTAGTTTAGTGAGGCAGCAGCGCCCTTTGGCAAACATTATAAAACGACCATTATTCTATAGCATTGAGTCCTGGCAGTTAAAGTGCTGTTAAACTACATTAATTCTACAATGTAGATGCACCCTAATCAGGTCAGGCTTAATGGACAGCCTTCCAAGTAAATCTACCTAAGAGATTTGAGTGTCTTGTATGCAGCAGTTTGATCATCATTATTGTTATTGTTAATTTATAGGGCACCATCAACAAATGTTCAGCAAAGGATAAGAGGGATCCTCTCACTTCTGCAAGAGTCTACCGTGTACCATGCAGCTGTGGACAAGTCTACATAGGGACCTCCAAATGCAGCACCCAAACACGAATCAAGGAACATGAAAGGCACTGCAGACTACTTCAACCAGAGAAGTCAGCCATAGCAGAGCACCTGATGAACCAATCTGGACACAGCATATTATTTGAGAACACAGAAATGCTGGACCACTCTCACATCCACCATGTCAGACTACACAGAGGAGCCATTGAAATACATAAGCATGTGGGCAATTTCAACAGAAAGGAGGAAACCATGAAAATGAACAAAATCTGGTATTAAAAAACTCAAAAATTACAACAGCAAAACAGCAGAGAGGAAACAATCTGGACATCTAATCACCTCTCAACAAAAGATTGCCCCAGGCACTGCCAGGCCATCAAATGCTAATCAAGGTGGTCAGTTGAAACATTCACACCTAGCTCCAGCAGACAAGAGTTCTTTGTCCCACCCTGGTCTTTCCACAGATATATAAGCCCACTTTCCTAGTTCCAACATACCTCACTACCTCTGAGGATGCTTGCCATAGATGCAGACGAAACGTCAGGAAAGAATGCCTCTAGAACATGGCCATATAGCCCGAAAAAAACCTACAGCAATTCACTTCAAGATCTTTCCATTTTCATTCAGGTTCACGAACAACAGAAATAACCATAATTATGTGCTATGCCTTTGACAGGTATGTTATTTAGATAACATGGATCTGGCATTTATTCTATGCTGTGGTTAGTTCCACCTTCATCACTATTTTGGAATTGGATTGCTTTCATTGACAGGGATGGTCCAAGTCCAGTTTTTGTTTGTTCGCTACATAGACACATGGAAGCTATGCAACTGAAACTACTTTGCAGCTGAATGTATCATTCCATGTTACAATTACCTTGCTGACATCTAATGCCACCCACAAAGAATGATTTCCAGGAAAAACCTTAGGAGGAACTTTGAAGGTTGCCTAGCTCAACTCCATGCAGGGCAATAATAGGCAAAGCACTCCCTTCTATTCCTGCTCTATTCTTGTTCTATATATCTCTGTAACGGAAAAACTAATTATAATGGAGGTTTTGTCTATATTTATTAATGTTGGTTTTATGACATGGGCAGGCAGGAGTTGGCAACATATGATTGGTCTATGCATCACCATGGTTGCGTAGCCTCTGCAGTAGAAATGTATCCATTTTAGAGTGGCTAGCAAGAAAAAGGGGCAGAGCTAGCTGAAAAGAAAAGAGGGAACATTTTAAAAAATGAGTCAGTCTCTAGCCAGGGGAAGCTAGAGTGAAGAGGTTCCTAATTTAAGTTTGAGTCTTCAGTTGTGATACTGAAGTAATAAAGGGGCCACTTTGAATCGGTCTCTAGTCTGGGAGCTAGAGGGAAGAAGATCCTTGTATAAGATTGTGCCTCCAGTTGTGGTACTGAAGTAATGAGAGAGTATTTTGAGTCTTAAGTCCTCAATCAGGTGGAACTGAGAGACAGAGTCCTTTGAGACTAAGTTTATAATAAGGCTATTGATGGAAAGAAGTGACTATAGGATCTAAGTTATCCTGTCGGAAGGCTGGGGAGGAATTGCATTTGAAAGTGGACATAAGTTAAACTGTTTTGAAAATTATATAATATCAGTTTTATGTATTCTCAAGAGTAAAAGACAGATGTAACAATATCCAGGTGGAACTGAAGTAAAGTACTATGTAACAAATATGCTTTATGTGCACAAGAATTAATAAATAAACATTACTTTGTTTCAACTAATATATATAGTCTCATGTCAAGCTACAGGACTGAAGTTACATTTCTGAAAGTCGGCTGGAGATTATATTGATGTAATCTATGAGGAGAAGTTGGAAGCTACACACTGACTACAGTATTGGATTACACATCAAAGAGACACATACAGACATTTAAAATTAAATCCTGTAACAAACATATATAAGAAAGGTGACACAGAGATAGCATATTTCATGGCAGGAACCACAAGTTGCTGAGTTTCTGTGAGGTTTATTTTTCTCTTTATCGGCATTCTTGCCTTGTGCATACGTACACATATAAGTTTATCAGCGGGTGGCATATTATTAAAAAAGAAAAAAAAGAAAAAGGAAGTTCCCCTTCCAGTAAGGGTTCATTGGTATCCCAGTATTCTACACAAGAATGTTGTTAAAAACAGCCTTTTGATAGAACCCTGGGTACTGTCCCATTATCTGGGTTATGGGGGCCAGAAAGGGGTGCTAGACAGAGAAGGATCGTCAGTTTTACGGGGGAAAGGGGGGTTGAAAGAGTAAAACCATTTCCCCCATTTTCCTATTAGTCCCCTCACCCATGTCACTGTCATGGAAACAACCCTCGTTTATGACATGGGGAGAGGAGGG